CCGGGTTATCGGGCTTGCCCCCCCCTCCCCCCCAGGATAACCTAACCTTGCTGGTTGTGCAGGTCCGCGGGAGGGGGGGCGCGGGCATATGCAGGGCTGTCCCACAGCGCGAGGGTTAGGTTATCGGCCGGCCCCCTCCTCACCCCCACCCCCCCGGATAACCGGGGGTATCGCCGACTCAAAGGCCCAGGGGTCTTCGAGCACCAGGAATTCTTGAGGATGGCCAGACTGGGAGTGAACCTAACTGTGAACGTATTGGAGTGCGAATGAGTCCCAGTAGTGCGCGTGAGTCTATGCGCATGAGTCTGAGCACGTGATAGGATAAGTGTATCTGCACGTCACTGGCCTGAGCATGACTGGGCGCGACTGAGTCGAAATGTCTACGCGGTTCCCCCTCCATGCTGAAGCAAGGAATAGGGGTGCTCAGGCAAACGCCGTGCGAAACCCGTGCGATTCGTTGGCTGGCCCAGAAGAGCTCACGCAGTGGCTGGACCATGATGCAGCCAGCTACGCCACGGAGAGGAGAGGCCCAATCTACAGGAACATATGAACAACATATGTGACTGGAGCCACAGGGGAGGCGCAATCCATACGAACACACGTACAACAGCATCAAGGATTCGTGCCCCAGGAGGGGCCCACTATATAGGAGCACGCGGGAAACACATAGTTTTGGAGCCACATGGGGGGGGCATACGCAAACACCAAGGATTCGTGCCCCAGGTGTTCGTGCTCCCGGGCGCACACATAAATCACTTAGGATTGCAGCCGCCGGAGAGTGGCAATCTATAGGGACATGCGTAACACACGAAGGATTCGCGCCCCAGGGGAGGCCCCACCTACATAAACATGAGTAAAACATTTAGGTGTGGCGACACAGGGGAAGGGAAATCTATAGGAGCATGCGCACAACACAACGGAATCGTTCTCCAGGAGAGGCCCAATCTATAGGAACTAACGTAAACACTTAGGAGTGGAACCGCCCCTCTGGCCTCCTGGGACCTCCCGGGGCCTCTTGGGGCGTCGTGCCGCCTCCTGCTTCCTCCTGGTGCCTCATGGTGCCCCCTGGGGCCGCCTGTTGCTTCCTGGGGTGCCCTGAGGCCTCCCGGGGCCTCCTGGAGCCTCTTGGGGCCTCCTGGGGCCTCCTGGTGCGTCCTGGTGCCTCCTGGGACTTCTGGTGCCTCCTGGTGTCTCCTGGGGTCTCCTGGTGCCTCCTGGGGAGGAGTTGTGCTCCAGGGGATGTCAGGAGCACACGTTAAACACGTAATTAGGAGTGGAGCCACAAGAGAGTGGCAGTCGATAGAAAGATGCGTAAAACATAATGGATTCGCACCCCCAGAGAAGCTGACTATAGGGACACGCTGGAAGCACATAGGGTTGGAGCCACATGAGAAGGACAGTAGGTAAAAAACACGTAACACACCAAGGGTTCGTGCCCCAGGAACATACGTAAACACACATCATTGGAGCAACTCCTGTGGCCTCCTGGGGCTTCCTGGAGTATCTTGGTGCCTACTGGGGCCGCCTGGGGCCTCCTGTGGCCTCCTGGAGCCTCCTGTGGCCTACTGTTGCCTCCTGGGGACTCCTGGAGCCTCTTGAGGCCTCCTGGAGCCTCTTGGTGCCTCCAGGGCCTTCTGGGACCTCCTGGGGCCTCCTGGAGCCTCTTGGTGCCTCCTGTTGCTTCCTGGGGTCTCCTGGAGCCTCTTGGGGCCTCCTGGAGCCTCTTAGGGCCTCCTGGGGCCTCCTGGGGCTTTCTGGGGCCTCATGGTGCCTCCTGTGACTTCCTGGTGCCTCCTGATGCCTCCTTGGGCCTCCTGGGGCTGCCTGGTGTGGATTCGCTCCCCATGGGATGCCCAATCTGCAGGAACATCCGCAGCATACTTAGGATTGGAGCCACAGGAGATGGGCCCTCTATAGGAACACATGTAAAGCACAACAGGAGTCGTGCCCCAGGGGGGCGGGGGGGCAATTTATAGGACCATATGTAAAACACGTGGGATTGGAGCCACAGGGGAGGGGCAATCTATATGGTATATGGACATGCGTGAACAATCAAGGATTCGACTTGAACGCAGACGAGTCTGGCCTCCAAAACAGGCAACCCGCTCGAGACATCCTCACAAGCTGGACCCCCCTGGGGTGCGAACGCAGGCGCCTCGCCCGAGACATCCCCAAGCTCAGCTCCGAACGCGGAGGGTGCCGAGGGCGCAAAGCGGCAAGCCGCCCGAGGCATCCCGGCAGTCTGAGCCCTTGGCGGTAATGAAACCAGCGCCTCACCCGCGACATCCTCAGAGTCTGCTCTGAACGCAGGCGGTTCTGGCCACCAGCGCAGGCAGCCTTCTTGAGACACCCTCATAATGAGTGCCCCTTGGGGTGCGAAAGCCAGCGCCTCGCCCGAGACATCCTCAAGCTCTGTTCCGACAGCAGAGGGTGTCGAGGGCGCAAACAGGCAGACCGCCTGATGCATCCCCGCAATCTGGGCGCGAACGGGCCCGTGAGATACTCCTTGGCGCTCCCCCTTGGGGGTGCGAAACCAGCGCCTCGCCCGAGACATCCTGGACCTCGGTTCTGAACGCAGCGGATGCGGGGCACGCAAGCAGGCACACCGCTCGAGACAACCCCGTAATCTGGGCGCGAACGGGCCCGTCAGGTACCACCCTGGCGCCCAGCCCCCTCCTTGGTTTGCGAAAACCTGCGCCTCGCCCGAGGCATCCTCAAACTTCGTTCCCAAAGGGTGGGATGATGGGACATCATCATCACCACCACCATCATCATCACCACCATCATCATGATCATCAGTATCACCATGGTCACGGTATTCATCTTCACATTCACCACCGTCATCATCATTACCCTCATCATCAACACCACCACCACCATCGTCGTCATCGTCATCGTCATCGCCATCGCCTCCATCATCACCATCATCATCATCACCACCATCATCATCGTCGTCATGGTCGTCGACATCGTCCTCATCATCACCATCATCAGCGTCATCATCATCATCATCGGCGTCGTCATCATCACCACCACCATCGTCATCAGCATCGTCGTCGTTACCATCACCAGCATGATCGGCAGCATAATCGTTATCCTCACTAACATCGTCTTCATCGTCTGCATCATCATCGTCATCGTCATCATCATACTCGTCATTACCATCATCGTCATCATCATCATCATCATCAGCATCATCATCATCATCATCTTCATCGTCGTCATCATCACTATAGCCATCGTCATCACCGACATGATTGTTCTCATCCACCATCAACACCATCATCCTGGCAATCGTCATCATCATCATCGTCATCACGGCATCATCATCGTCATCAGTATCATCATCACCATCGCCGTCGTCGCCATCATCATCAGCATCATCAACATCCCCGTCATCATGATCATCGAGCGTGTGAATCGTCATCATCATCAGCATCATGACCGCCGTCGTCATCAGCATTACCATAATCATCATCACCACCATCATCATCTTCATCATCATCGTCATCGTCATCACTACTACCATCATCATCACCATCATCATTATCAGCAACAGCATAACCAGCATCACCATCATCCTCACTATCATTATCAGCATCATCATCATCAGCAGCAGCATCATCATCACCTTCAAGAGGAAGAGGAGGAGAGTGTGTTCTCGTGTTTGGCGCGGTCGGTGTAATAAGAAGAACTTCATCCTTTGGATCTGGTCAAAATGAAGGAGTGCCGCAAATTCGCGCCGCACGGTCGGGGCACGAAACGTCGCCTCTTGGGGCCCTCTTGGGACGCCCTCTGGGCCCCTGGGTTCTTCCTGGAACCCTCTGGGGTTTCACTTGAGGCTCTCTTGTGCGATCTTGCGGCCATCTTGACACCTCAGAAGCCCATCAGAACGAGACGCCCAAACTATTGAACGAGACATCGGTGCTGAATCATTGTAGTTCCTCGTGGACATCGTGGGGAGGCGTCGTAGCCACTTGGAGGCCGTCTTGAGGGCCTTGGGCGGCCTTTTGGAGGCATGTCTGACGCCATGTTGGTCCGACCTGGCGGTCTTGCACCTTCTACCGAATCCCTCCTTGGGCCGCCTTGGGGCCTCTTGGAGCAACCTTTGGGCGACCCTGCACGCCATCCTGGACGCCCCGACCGCTCGCGAGAGGCCCGCCCAGACGCGTGGGTCAGGGCGAGGGGCGCCCCCCTGCCCGGAGGGGGAAGACATTGACTGCTGGATCGAGGAAGCGCAGACATGGATTACAGTGGGGGCCCAGGCCAAGGAACACCCTGCTGGCCTCCAGGGTGCCCAGAGTGTTTCCTGGGTTTCGATGCTGTTTTGCCATGGAGCGCCTGACGTTCGCACACCACAAGTCGTCGAGGGACGTCCTGGGGTCTCAGGGCTGGGTTTTCCTGTGGAAGGTTTCTCAGGAGGAGGAGGATGGAGGAGGGAGGAGGGAGGGAGGAGGAGGAGGAGGAGGAGGAGGAGGAGGAGGAGGAGGAGGAGGAGAGGAGGAGGAGGATCGTGGACTGGCCTCCACTGTGAGGCGCGTGGGTGAGCAGCGGACCCCGCTTCCCTGCAGAACTGGCGCGCTCCGTCGCCAGATCCGGCGGCTCCGCCCCCGCGTTTCGGGGGGCGCCCGTCCTCCCCGGCGCGGATCCGGCGCCCGCCCCGTCAGATCCACGGCTCCGTAGCGCTCCTCCTCCTCCTCTCCTCCTCCTTCCTCCTCCTCCTCCTCCTCCTCCTCCCCTCCTCCCCCTCCTCCTCCTCCTCCTCCTCCTCCTCCTCCTCCTCCTCCACCTCCTCCTCCTCCTCCTCCTCCTCCTCCTCCTCTTCCCGTTTCGGGGGGCACCTGTCCTCCCCTGTGTGGATCCGGCGCCCGCCTCGTCAGCTCCACGGATCCGTGGAGCATGTGGGCGTGCGCCCGAGAAATAGTTTGTCTTCGAGTTGGGGTGACGCCCAGAGGGCAGGTGGGGTCGGAGCGCGCGCGCGCGTTCCCCTGTGGGGCCAGGACGCCAAGAAGCTCGCGGTCAAGTGCCTCCAGGTCTGCTTCTACCGCGACTGCAATGCCTACTTCAAGATCCACATCGCGACCTGCGACGGGGATCTCGGGGTGGGATCAGAGCCGTGCGTGCATATGCAGTCAAGGCTCTGGAAGGAGGACCTTTTCTCGGGTTCAGGAGGGCCTCTGCTTTTTTGGCCGTTCCTTAGATCCGGGCCGGGCGAGAGGACATAATAGAGAAAAGGGGGGATTACGAGATCTGCTGCATGCAGCTGGTCTCCGCCCCGCCGCCGGGCCCATTCCTTGATTCATGGGAAACCAGTTACGTGAGCTGATTCTCTACCCTACCCTTTGCTATCTGGCCCTTTTTGCCCTCCCCGATACACCCGCTTCGGGGAGCCACCTCGTGGCAGAGGCTCGCCGTTGCCAGAGACGCCCCCCTCGTTCCTTGTGCGGCGATCGTTCAGCTCGGCCCCTGCTTCCTGGGCCGTTCCTCATCTCCGCATCGGGGAGCCTCTTCGTGGCTGGGGCCTCTTCGTGGCCTCTTCGTGGCGGGAGCCTCTTTCCTCTTCGGCGCCTCTACGGCAGCATGGTAGCTGCCGGCCAGCAGCGCGTCGCCCGTCTCCAGCCCTCGCTCCTCCTCCGCCTCCTCCTCTTCCTCCTTCTCATCCTCGTCCTCCTCCTCCTCCTCCTCGTCCTCCTCCTCCTCCTCCTCCTCCTCCTCCTCCTCCTCCTCTTCATCCTCCTCCCGCTTCCCCCCCCACATCCTGGCGCGCGATGTGGGGCGACATCTGCGGATCCAGGAGCGCCTCGACATCTGCACGCTGGGCTCCATGGCCCTTCAGCCCTCCTATGGCACGATGTATCATCGCCAGCATCGCCGTGAGATTTGGCGTGGCTGCTGGATGGATGCATTGGTTCGGCCTTGCCCCTTCCCCCTCCTAGGGTTGGGTGGGATGGAGGACGAGGAGGAGGAGGAGAAACATTTTGAGGACCTGTGCAAATCCAAGACTCATCAATGATGTTGGAATGCACCCTCCCCAAGGCTCTCTTGTCATAGGCCCCATACAAGGCTTCATTGTCACTGAGGGAAGTGCCCCGTTGGGGGATAAACGTGTGAAAATCTGGACGCGTACCAGAACTTCGTTCTCAGGACTTCGACTCCACGAGTCAACTTGACTATTGCATCTTGGCGATCCTGAATCGTACCAGAACACCGTTCCTGGGACGTCAACACCGCGAATCAACGGAACTGCTGCGCAATGACAATCCTGAATCGTTCCCAAAATCCTATGCTGGAAGGTTACCATGAGAACACGTGAAACTGCTGTAATTGGTTAAAATGAATGTGCGCGACGCCAAGGCGAGAGACATATAATGAAAACCAGTAGTCCTGAATATGTAACACCCTTGGAAGTGTTTGATCGAATGTGCACGGCGCGAAGGCGAGAGCCACATTTTGAAAACGGGCCGCCCTTAATACGTGAAGCTCTTGCAAACGTGTGTAATGAATATGCGCGGTGCTTCGGCGAGAGCCACGTTTTGAAAACCATGTGTCCTGAATGTGTAAAACCCATTGAACATTTTAGAATCTGAAGCGAATGTGCGCGGCGCTCAGGCGATGGCCACATTTTGGACGCGGCCTGCCCTCCATTTGTGAAGCTGCTGCTTGTTTTTTAGTGTCAGGCTCCTACATGGTAGCGAGGTCTCCTGTGAAACGCCCGGCCCGCCCTTCGGACTGGTGAACGACATGGGGAGTTTCCCGCAAGGGAAACATTGAAATTGATGAGGAGATTATTGGAGGCTTTCTCTTCTGGCCAGGGAATGCGAGGAGGACCCGCTCCTGACCCATTCGGGCCTCCGGGGAGTTGTGGGGCCATCTCTGGCTGTCCCCTTTTAGTGTTCCCCACAGTTGCTTGTCTTGTGGCTTGTGAGGCATCTGCTTCGAGAACAAATAGAGCGCTTCGCTTTTCAGGTGCCTGCGGCAAGTCCCACCACCGTGCCAGCCAGCCCAGCAAGTTGGGTGCCGAAACTTCTAGCACCGAAGGCCGTCGAATGTGACACCGTTTCGTTCTCACTTCTTCAGGAGCTCTCATGGATCCCGTCTGGGCCGTCTTGGAGCTGTTTTGGCCTCCTATGCACCAGTGTTCGGGGTTCCTTGGGGCCCTGCTGGGCTGTCTTGGGGGCCTCTTGGGCCGTCTTCGGCCTCCCTTGGGCCGTCTTGGGCTTCCCTTGGGCCGTTCTTGGGGTCACCTTGGCCGTCTACGGGGTCTTTGGGTGCCGTCGCGGGGCGCTCTTGGGGCCGTCAGGGCTGTTTAGGGGCCCCGTTGGTTTGCATTGATGCCGCTTTGGGGAATTATGTGTTTTACCATTCGATATCGGCGCGCTCTATTTTTAGCGATGACCCCGCTGGGTTTCAGGGTCCCTCGGATCCTTCCTGGTCTTTCCCCGCTCCTTCTCTTGCTTTCCCTCTCCCGTCTTCCCGAGGATCGGGGAAGAGGCTTCGGTTTGCGTTTTCGCCCGCCCGCCGCATTTATGGCTGCCGAGCGGCGCGGAGGAAAGGGACCGCCCGCGCGTGCGTGTTGTTTCGTCGGTCGATGGCGTATGTTTTTAACTTGACACTACTCATTGTTTGAATTACCTTGTGACGTTCCCAGCCCATTCGCATCAAGTGACAAGAGGAGTTGGCCCAAACTTGCTGAGACAATGGCAGTGCAGGCGCCGTTATGTGTTGCGCAAGCTACATGGGATGCGCTCGCGTGGCACGATTCACAACGCAACAAGAGAAGGACGAGGAGCGAGGGCCCAGGCTTGAGGAGGACATGGGGGCGGTAACGAAGGGCATGAAAAGGACGGACGATTGGCAAACCCGTCAGCGCGGCAGCAGTAAAGAGAGGGTGGCAGGGGGCAGAGAACGACGACGAAAGTGAAGGGAGGAGGCCGACAAGTGTTGCTTCTGTCGGTAGTATACTAAAGATGCAGCGCTGCCTGCGCCGTGTCGCCGCGGCGCTCGGTACAATCATTTAACTTGCTTGTAATAAGTGCAGATGCGGGCGTGGCGTAGCTCGCCCGCCAGCTTTCCTGCTTCCTTCCTGTATTTTTCAGTGCGGGAGCTAAACGCTCGAAAGCGCGCCGCCAGGTCTGCGGGCGGCCGCGATAGCGTTCGAAAGTGGTGACAGTTTGGCAGATCGCAGCCCCCCCAGGGAGGGCGAGGTCTGATCTGAGTTTGGGTGGTGCCTCACACCGCTGAACCCCTAGCAGCTTTCGAAGCGGCGGCAATTTCGCAGATCGCAGCCCCCCCGGGATGGCGAGATCTAATCTGAGTCGGGGTGGTACCTCAATTCGTCTGAATCCCCGCAGCAGCCCTCGAAAGCGGCGATACTTTCGCATATCGTATCCCCCAGAGATGGCGAGGTCTCCTGGTGATTCGCGTAAGACGTCACTCCGCTGCCCCCCCAGTAGCCCCCGAAACTGGCGGCAGTTTCGCAGATCGCAGCCCACCAGGGATGAGCAGGTAGAAGGCACGCTGGCTGGCAGGAAAAGCGAGGTGAAAAGGCAGCAGAAAAGAGAAAAGAGAGGGGTGCGGGAAGGAAGGTCGCGACCGCAGTGCTCTATCCCAAACGAGTACCCGACGCAGCAAACTTGGGGACGAACGCATCGATGAATTCGGCTGCCTTCATAGACACGCCGGGGCCGATCTACAGAAAGTGGGAGTCTGGCCCAAAGCCCAATCGATCCTTACACCTTGATTATTGGGCCTGCTGGGGGGCTTGTTTTGGTTGTCATGGGGCCATCTGGCAGTCGCGAGCTGCAGGGAGCCCGAAAAAGGTGAGGCCTAAATCTTTGAAATGCCAGGCAGGAAACTTTCAGATGTTGGCCTCTTTTGCCCAATTTTGGGGGTCATATTCTAGACCTTTTCGACCGCCATGGGGGGCGATTGCACCATCTTGAGGCCATCTTGGACCGCCTGCGTGACTTCTTGGGCTGTTTTGAAAGCATCTTGGGCCATCCGGGCGGTCTTCGTTGCTTGCCTCGGTCGTTTTGTAAATTTGGGAGCGCGGGCCCATCGTGCTTTGCAAAGAAACGTGGCCTCGACAGCACGGGCCCATCCTCGTTTGCAAGCGATACTTGCCTCGGGAATGGGGGGCGATGCATGCGAGGAAGGGTGGCGAGGAGGGGGCTGGCTTTACATTTGTCCTACCAGACGGCCTTTGGCATCCTACCACGTCACGACGTGTTATGGGGAAATTGCGGTGGCGGGTAGTCGGGTCTCTGCACTAGTGTGGGATGAAGACGGGAGGCCTTGTGCCAGGCGATCGAGTGCATTTGGTCCCACAGATGCGGAAATGAAGAACGTCTCACCCACTATGGGTTACGAAGAGGAGGACTATGTAGGGCCAACAGCGAGAACGAACGCGTAGGGCTGGCATATCTCGTAACAGTTCGATGGGGTACTCCAGGTAACGCGCTCACTCGGCTTGAAGCGCAGTGCTGGGATGTGTACGTTGTTCGCATCGCATCTCCAGCGCAGCTCCTGGTGGGTAGGCATTGATGTACCGCGGCTCTCCGATTCTTCGTTTCGCATTGCTACCACAGTCACCCTGAACGGTCTGGAGCGCACACCGGTTTGACTTGGCGACGGGTGGCCAGCGGAGGCGCGTATATGCAGAATTATAGTTGAGTCAAGCGTATCAGCGGATCCGCATCGGGAGCACTTGAGCAGCACAATTCTCGCGCTGGAGCTCGGCAGAGCCAGGTTGCGGGAACCCCAAACTGTTCTGACGACGACAGACGCACCGACACCGATCCTGGCCAGGCCCATCCTGGGCACAGAATCAGAGCAACCGCCCTCCCTGCCAGGCCGGGAAGGCGCGTACCCCCATCCCGGGCCCAGGATTGGCCTGGCCAGGAGCGGCTTCGGTGTCTCCGCAGATGCCCAGCCCCTGGCAGGAGACACAGGAGATCAGCGAGCCGATCGCCATGGATCACTACTGGGGCCACTCTGCGTGGCTCAAGAAGGCGCCCTGCGTTGCCGTCGCCACGAGACGCATGAGGGATCGGGCCGGGGGGGCACCCATACCTCCTCGCGTCGTGACGAGAGCACGACGGACACTTCTTCACCGGTTTTGGCTTCTGGGGTATCCTTGCGGGGCCCCGGTTCCGTCAACGTACGGCTCGAGATGACAAGGTGGTCCCAGGGAACTGGTCTAAACCTCAGGCGCCTGGGGAGAGGCGGGATGGGAGGGAGGAAAGCGCAGAGGAGGGAGGAGTGAATAAGGAGAAGGGGGAGTTGATGGAAGGGGGGGGGGATCGGGAAGGTATGGGAGCGTCCACGCAGCAACCGTACCTTTTTAGTCGGGCGTGTTTTGCAGTCGGGGGATGGTGGAGGGGCGGAAGAGGATCAGGGAGGGATGAGGGAGGCAGGCATGGAGAGAGGAGGAGGAGGAGGAGGAGGAGGAGGAGGTGGAGGAG